CACCTCCCAGCTTGGTGTCATCAGCAAACTTGCTGAGGGTACATTCTAACTCTTCATCCAGGTCACTGACCTTTCAAAACAAATGCTTCATCAGGCACTACAACAGCATGGACTTCTCCTTATCTTACTCGAACTCTGTGTGCGTTCAGCCATACCCCACACTTTTGACGTAAAGCGAGTTGCAGCAGTCTCACTGCCACCACCACGCACAAGCCTGACTGCAACCCAGCATGGGCATCGGCGTCAGCCAAGCTTCAGGCGCCGCGCCTCCATCCTCTGCGCTACGCCAGAAGTTTTGGGGTAGTTTTAACCTGCAGAGCTGCAACAGTAACCTGAAAGCCATCCATCACAAGGACACAACTCCACTGCAACACACAAATTTTCAACTAGACTCAACTTCCCAACGTAGAACCACGCTAAGATTCGTTTGGCTAATTTCCTACATTCTTCAGAAAAAGGAGGCAGGGAACACATTTTGTATCGCTCCTGCATTTGTTGCATTATGCGCTCAAGCCCTGGTAAGCTGGTGTTCAGCCTGCAGCAGATGCTTCTCTGGTCTTGTTTCACACTGTGCCTTCCAGGACAGGAAAAAGACACAGGGCAGACCTGGAGCTGTGGGAGCGGGGCCAGAGGAGGCACCAGCAATGATCCGAGGGCTGGAACCCCTCTGCTGGGAGGAAAGGCTGGAAGAGCTGGGGCTGCTCAGCTTGGGGAAGAGAAGGCTGCAGGGAGACCTTAGAGCAGCCTGCCAGTACCTGAAGGGGCCTCCAAGAAAGCTGGAGAAGACCTTTAACAAGGGCATGGAGTGACAGGACAAGGGGTGATGGCTTCAAGCTGAAAGAGGGGAGATTTAGATCAGATACAAGCAATAAATTCTGTACTGTGAGGGTGGTGAGGCCCTGGCCCAGGTTGCCCAGAGAAGCTGTGGCTGCCCTCTCCCTGGCAGCGTTCAAGGCCAGGTTGGACAGGGCTTTGAGCACCCTGGTCTGGTGGAAGCTGTCCTTGCCCACTCAGGGGGGTTGGAACGAGATGGTCTGTAAGGTTCCTTCCAACCCAAACCATTCTATGATTCCATGGGCATCAAACTACTGATGGATCAAACGCCACGATGCTGATTCCAGCGTGTGCTCAGGTCTAGCAGAGGATGCAGCTCGCAGACTAGACCTCAGAAAAGCTTACAAAGCCAAATAATAATAGCATGAGATATTTAGTCTTCACATATTGTGGTTTATTCATTCCTCTCCATCTGATGCTTATGCCCACCTATAAAATAATCGGCATCAAATTTAAGTCCACATAAAATTTTTAGAAGGAAAACCAAATACTTCAAAAGGAACAGCCAGGAAATTCCTTATATCAGCTCCTCAAGAGCTGGCCTATATACAGTAATGACAGGCATGACTGCTTTCCAGTGGCTTCAGTGACATCACTGCATGCCTACGTAGAAGAATTCCCCAAAACTAAGGCTTAAGAGCAGTTGAACAAGGTCGACTAACAGTCTGTTTAACTCAGCAACTCCAAATGACCAAACAGTATTAGATGTCCAGAGAAAAGTTCTGGATAAGAGGAATGTGACTGCCACAGAACAAATCCTCGCCTGCAGAAATTTTCTGGCAAGGCAGTTGCTCATTCCCGTGCATCACTGCAAAGGGGAACACACGAGGGCTGGAGCGCAGCTATAGATGGTCAGACAAAGAGATGGCACAGGGAGATCGCCTGAAACCTGCAGCAGGTTGTTCAGAAGAAGGAACCAAACACAGCTCTCCAAAGCCAAATACCTTTGTCATCCACATAGCCCAATTTTGCCAAAAAATGAACACAAGCCTGTTGACAGAAACCAGGATACACAGCTACTTCTTACAGAAGCAAGTACTTTATGGAGCTAGCACGGCTCCGCCAACGCAACCCTAGAAAGCCAAGCATGGAGAAGAGCCTGTGTGATTTCACCCACCTCTCGATACATTTGTGAATCCTCCTCCACTGGGGATAGTGCGCTTCTTGTTCAAAGCCCCCTCCTTTGGCCCTGGCCTGCTGGGCAACATTCAAGGACCTCGTGTCAATGATGTAGCCACGCTTGCCAGGCCGTAGTGTGGCGTTAATAAGCTTCTCGTCTTCTTTACACCGTCTTCCATTCGTACCTGTAAGAGGCTGGCTACTTCTCATCATGACCTGCAGAGACAAGAAGAACCATGAATTAAGGTGCTGGAAACAGAGAAACTTAATACTGAAAGCCACCGACTGCTCCAAGCCGAGAATGGAGGGTTAAACTCACTAAGCAAAGGAGATCCCTTGACTTGGGGATTTCTTAGGGGTCTGTAAACGGAAGACTGCCAGCTTGATGCATCAGATTGCTGGGTCTCAATGCCAGGCACGGCGAACAGCTCTCCCGAGGAGCGTGCTGCTGAAATTCACACAAGATCCTCCTGTTCTCCTTTACAACTCGGGTCATTGTAACAATGCTTATAGGAGCGAGAGCTCAACCTCAAAAAAGCTTCCTCTATCAGTTCAGGGGTCAAATTCGAGTGCGGCCCTCCTGGACCTCCAGCTCTGCTCTGTGGAGTTACACCAGCAAATGCAGCTCTCACCCCACCGCACTTTCCACTTCCATCTGCCTCCAGTTCAACCCACCACACCTGGACACGGAAAAGCAAATGCCCTGATCTGCACTGCCTGATGCACAGAAACGTCTCTCCAGTTCCTCCTACAACCGCTGCTCTCCCTCGCCCTGAATCCTTCAGTTCTCAGTGCAATCCCTTGCAGGGACTGAACTTATTTAAAAAACAAACTAGAAATCCTTCAACTGAGCAATCAATTTGGGAGGTGGCTTTCTAAATTAGAGATGTCTTCTCAGAGGCTTTATCCTTTCAATTATTCCTGTAGTACCATCTTTGTGAGCCATTGAACTGGCTTTCTTCTGATTTTTAAACATTAAAATCATTCATGTGTTAAAGATGCCTATTAGGTACAGTTTTACCCAGTGGCTAGACTGATAAACCTTAGGTCCACAGGTTTATTAGCTGAGACTTCTCTTTAGTAAATGCCTTTCAATTCAGAAAGCATCCCAGCAGCTCAAACGATAACTGAAGTGCGAGGGCAGCCAGTCAGCCACCCCAGCCACACTCGAGAACTCGGAGTCAGGGGAGCAGCGTGACAGACAGCATTACTGTCACCAGTTCAAGCACTCCGAGCCAAATGCTACAGTCCTCACACTTGAAACACGCACAATTCAGAGAGAATTGAACAAATCTTCCTTCAACGGTTTTCAGTCAAGCTGAGAAAAAGCAGAAAGCACGACTGCTACGAAGTTGGTGGATGGCTGATTCTAAAGCAAGGCAAAAATACGCAGAGGTACTACAAAGTCAGATTAGACATCCTCCAACTCACAGCTCACAAATCTTGGCAATGGGAGGTGAGAACACATTAGAGCTTTTGACTCAGAAGCCTGGATCAGGTTTACAAGCTGCAGGTTGGACATCCCAACATCCTCAGAACTGGTTACATCAGCAAGAGATACACAGAATTACTCAACTATTTCATAAAGCGCGTTTCTTAATTATAGCGTATCAGTCACTCCATCAGCTTTTGGCTCGTGGAGAGGCGGTAATGTCTGTGCAACACCACGAATTCGCTACTCCTGAAACATGTTCCACTGCCAGGCTCAGAGAACAGATTGTTCCGATCGCTCCTTCGACAGTTACACAGCAGAAGCTGTGCTGGCTCTGGGCACGCTTGCTGTCATCATGGCTCCATTACGAAGGCGACAGCCCGCCACCCAGAGATGGGACAACCTGGTTTCTGCCATCCTTTCAGCATGAAGCCTCTTGGCAGACAAAGCAAGTAAGGGTGCCAGCGGTGGCTTTACAAGCCTCCTCTTGCTCTTAGCGCTGTGAGCAAGCCCGTGGCACATACGCTCCCAAACAAGCGGATTAATGGCTATTTCTAGGAAGGAGATTACTCATTCCATCACCCAGAAATAGTTTCATCACATACACTTAGTAAGTGGGAAAATAAAAAGAGCAAATGTCTCATGAACTGTATTAAGCATAGAGCACAAGTTGCTTTTTCACTAAATGAACAGATTCACACGCTTCCTTCAGGTGCAACCATTACTCCAGTGCAGCTTACCATCCCATTCTTCTTATGATAATAGCTGAGGACTGGGAAGCGACTGCCATGGCGAAACATGGCAACTTTCCGAAGTGCATCGTCGTCGATGGATTTAGGGACAATGACAACCGGCGGGTAAGAGGGACAGACAGAGAATTCCTTGTTGATGCAGCTTAGACGCCATTCATCTGTCTGAAAAAGATCAGAACATACAGGCTGTGGGTCAGAAAACAGATTTCTACTGGTACAGTATAACATAGTAGGGAAGAGGAACGTCCATATTCAGGATAAAGCGCGCACAGAGTAATATTTGTGATCTATTCCATTTGCAGCACAGATGAAAGCTCAGTTGTCATTATCAGCATAATTACTTTTGTCCATCCGGGCATCTTGTTCCCCGGTAACAGCACAGCTACACTAACTGGTCAGATCAAACACAGCACCGTATCTTGGCTCCAGCAAAAACACAGCAAAAGAGACGCTATTCGAGAATAAACAAGCCTGGCCGCTCTCTGCGGCGCACTGCTCATCCCCTACCTCTCAGACGTTGTTTTACAAATATTAGCAGGTATATCCCTGCCTATCCCTTTTCGTATCCATTTACAGGTCTGTTGACTGATCATTTTTCCCCCCAACACCCCTTGACGCTGCCTGCAATCATAATGTCTTGTTGCAGCAGCTCCCAGCAGCTCATTACCCAGCGTGCAGCTAACGCTCACAGGCAACAGAAGAAATTATCAGATGACTCTGGTTCTTGAGGTGCAGGGCTCGCTGAACAACGGTTCCCTGTCTGGTTTATCCAAATCCTCAAACAACAGCACAAAATAAGCCCACGTGGACAGACGTGGGTGATCGTGGCTTTTAATTATTTTGCAGGCACAGCAGACTGCATGTCTGCAGTACCCACTACAACACAGCTTACTGCATTTGCAGACAGCTTCGATCTTACAGGAAGAGCAAGCATGACATGTTGCTCTCTCTGGGAGACCCCAGAACAGAAATGTATTCCTACATCAGCAGACTTGGAAGAAAAAAAAAAAAAAATGTTGATTTAGATGCATGTAACATGGGCTCAAACCTCTATCTGTGCTAAGAGCAGAGTTTGTAACACTGTCTGCACGACAAAGGCAGCCAAGAACATCCACCAGCTACACACAGTGAAGCCGCTTTGAGGTTAAAATTGCAATTTAATATTTCCTGCTTGGATCTTTTTAGGGGCTCTGCTTTACAAAAACCACCACAGCTGTTCCTCCAAAAGCACCTCCTGGACCCAGCACAGCACCTAAACACAAAGATCTCATCGTGAACTCCTCTGTATAATTACTCAGCTTCCAACAGCCAAACACTTGTGAAAGAAGTGTTGAATATTGGCACCCTGCACCCTTGCAGGCACTTGGCATGAGAATGCAGGCTAGCAGATACCCAGGGCAAAACCAAAGGCCAACAAGTGGCCTCACTGACGAGCAGTCCTCACTTACTGAAGTCCAGGCTGGAAGAGCCAACACCACCCTAACCGCAGCCTCAGAGAAGCCCAGCCTTCATGGAGGGCTTGCTGCTTCTGGGCCAGAACCACACCACTCTGATGTACCTGGATGGTGTCCTTAACACAGCAAATGGCCATGAGGCATATATTTTCCCCAAGGGCACAGAGCAGAACCTTGTCTGAAGTTTGGAAGGGAACTCCTTGTACCACACCACTCTGATGTACCTGGGTGTCCTTAACACAGCAAACAGCCATGAGGCACATATTTTCCCCAGGGGCACAGAGAAGAAACTTGTCTGAAGTTTGGAAGGGAACTCCTTGGTTCTCATGGTCCTTGACAGCAGGACGGTGGCTTGGTTGGGCTGCCTCTTCAGTTGGTGCATCCTTAAAATTAAAAGCTTGCAAGCCTTGGTGGGCAAAACAACTGAAAAGCCTCTACAACATGTTTTGATTTTAACAGCAGCATTAAATTCTTAGAAGCAGCAGAACAGCAGTCAAATTTGCTCCAAGAGCTCCAGAGGCAAAGAAATTAAAATGAAATATAAAAACCTTTTGAAGAGGACAGGCAGCTACTATCAAGTTTTTTTTTTTTTTTTCTTTTTTTCTTTTCCCAGTTTCAGTGCACTGATGCAACATGGGTATGAGCCTGCAAAGAAGACCCTAAGTAACTCCCCAGCTGAGGTGTTTTCGGTACAGACTGGGAAGCATTTGCGTGCCACTACAGCAGGCAGAGACCTCACACAGGTGCCATAAAAACCTCTGCTCATTAGTGCTCAAAATGTTTCAGCTAGACAATAAGTAGGAGCCTACAGCAGGTATCACAGAAAGTAAAAGAAGAGCATGACAGTTAAATTACGCAGTAATGGAATACACAAAACCCCACGTCAATTCAGGAAGGTTGGTTTAGCGTACATTAATTACACAGCTCTGATCAGAAGTAAGTGTCTCTTCCTGCTCCTTTTCCTCAAGAGGCTTACTCCCTCTTGCCTTGCACCTCCTGACTGGTACCTGGTTATACACCTCAATCTGGCTCACTGGACCAACGGAAAACAAGGATTGATTCAGACAGATTTTTTTCTGGCACTGAAGCCTTTCCATCAGATGAACAAGCTGAACTGATTCACAATGGTATTTCATCACTGGCAGATCCAAGGCATAGGATGTCTGGCACAGGAGAGAGCAAAATTGTCCCTTTTGGTGGCAGCCTATGAAAAAGATGCTGGGAAAGGCGCACGCTGTGTGCATTATGATCATCAAGAACAGCAATTGCGACCTGTGTTCGGCAGCCTACGTGGACAGCCTCACGCCATCCCTGTTGTGAGCTTACTTCATTATTCATTATCAAAACAGCTTCTCTGAACTTCTACACTTTATAAAAAGCAGAGGTTCTCCCAGATGAGAAGTTGCACTGCCTCTGGCAAGCACGTCACAGGCAGAGATGAAGGAAGTTCTGGATCACGTAAGGTCGCAGCTCATGCTTTTAACGCACCAACAATTATATTGTTTATAACTTTTTGGGGTGTTTATGTCAAATTACTGCAGATTTCATATGATGGTGTGCGATTCATTTACAATGAAAAAATATGGATGGATATAGAAGAGAACTGATAAATGCCTTACTGCCACACAGGATGTGGAGAAGGCAAAACCAGAACGCTGTGGTATGCTTTTTGAGAGACTGGCTGTCACCAATATCACCAGTGTGAAAAGGAATTTATCTCCCGCTTTGGTAATTTAACTCTGCCCATTGGACTAGATGACCCACAGAGGTCCCTTCCAACCCCTACTATTCTGTGATTCGCTCCTCTCCTCACCATTTAGAACCCGGGACAGATGATACTGTTATGTCACCCAGTTACAATTTGCTGTTACATGGGAAGGAGGAAGCAAGTGGCAGCAATCAGCACCCTTTGTCCTCTGTAGCACGGCTACTTCTGCAGAGAGCCGGTAAACCTCTGCAATGCCAACTTCAGACTGCTAAAATACACTACAACATGGACCAGATGACAGGGAAACCCAACAGACCAAGTCTCTTCTTGGATTTTGCTTGGGGTATGTCTGGAAGAGCGAGGGAAGGGCAATTCAACTACGTGCAGCAGTAGATGCTGATACAGGAAGCCTTAAGGACTGCAATGAAAGAGGAGAGCTGGACCTCATCTTCAGACACCACCAACTAAGCATGCTGCATGAAACTCAGAGAGGGTACAAAGTTAACATTTACTTCTCCCAGCACGAGAGCTGTACTTTAGGGAATCGGAAAAAGATGAGTTCGGGTGGAGGCCAGAAGCAGCAAAGGACTGGGGGCTGAGCAGAAAAGAGAGAGGACTCCAAAGGGGGGGGGGG